AACAGAGATCAGTGAGAGCCCCGGGAGGCAAGGGCTGAGTTGACCCAGGCTTGTTTACCCTGAGAAGGGGAGGGTTTTGTTAATATGATTGCATGCTTTTTTTTCCCCCTTTATGTGTTTACCCCAAGCAGAGTGGGCTTGTGTTAAAACTGTAGCTTCCTTTTCATATTCTCGTTTGAACCAGTGGAGCAGGTGTGGCTAGAAAGAGATGATGAGGAGGCCACAGAGTGCTATAGAGGCATGGTAGTGAGCCCTGCCAGAAAGAGAAACCCAAGATGGAGAAGGGCAAATTGCCTGAACCAGGGAGAAGTTAGAGAGGAGAGTCTGAGGCTGGGAAGGCCAGACCCCCAGCCTGGGAAGGGTGAACCTAGTTAGGCTCTAGCCAGGAGGGCATGACAGCTGCCATGATATATTTCATGAACATTCACACTGTGGTCCAGTGTGCAACTTCAAGGCAAAAAAAAAATGGTGTAATATAGAATCAATGTGAACCTGGGTAAAGAATGACAATCAATTCCACAAGCAGGCTTTTTCTTCCAAGTTAAGATTTCCACTATTACCTTAACAAGAAAGAGGTTATTCAGGAGGCAATAGCAGGTCTCATCTGCCACATCTCGGAGTTTGCTTTGGAGGGTGCGCTGTCTTGCATCATAAGATTTACAGGCATCAATCCCCAAGAACATGGCCATGAGTGCCCGGATGCCAAAGAAGTTCTGATTCACATTTATCTTTGTCAGTTCCATAGCAACAACTCTGCAGAGTAAAAATGAAAAGGACTAAGAAATCTCTATCAAGAAAAAGCAGAGCATTCTGAGAGAGAAATGTAGATACAGAAACTATTGCTTATTACAAAAACATCTAGACACACATAGCAATAATAACACTTCTCCTGGGCACTTTTCAACTATGCACATTACAAAAGAAGTTAGTGTCGCTGTTCCCATTTCACAGATGGGGAAATAGAGGTATGGCAAAATGAAGTGATATGCTCAAGGATTACCCACAAGAAAGTAGAAGAGCTGGGAAAAGCACCCAGGTCTTCTGAGTCCGCAGACAGAGCTCCACTAAGTAGGTGTCACTGTCTGCTCACAAAGCAACCTTCAGACTGAAGAAGGAATAATAGAAGTAGGTTTCTTCAGCCCTTTATGATTCATCTCCAACAACTGCAAAAAGCTTTTCCCCATCTGATTTTCTTCAGAGATAAAAGACGAGAGATCGATGTCCTCCATGTCTGGTTAAAATAACCAGAGCTTAGTCCCTAACTTATTACCTTTTGCTCTCATATGAAAGATGCAAGATTAACAGCCCTAAAGTGATCTCTAAACACAGAAAAGACTTGATCAAGTAAATCAGCTGAAGAAAAAGCCAGGTAATCAAAAAGCAAGATAGGTTAATTCTTTGAAACACAGAAGTGCCTGCCCAACCATAACCACAAAAGGTGCCTTTCCAAACTTCTCAGATTCCCTTATTTATTGAAATGAGTGCAGTTATTTGGTATTGGAGTGCATAGTGAGACCATTTGTTTAATCTTCCCTTTGACTGCATTGACAATTCTGGTATGTGAAATATTTGAACTAAAAAAAAAATTACAGAATCTTCCTTACCTTTGTAAAAGGTATATTGAAGTTAACAGCAGCCGGGGTTGTAATGATGCCAGGTCAGAACCCTGGACCCAGATAGTCTCTATCAAAAGATCAAGGCAAGCCATCCCCAAAACAAGCACAACCTGCTTCAAGACCAGAGCAGTGCCCTGGTCTCAGCTGGACTGAGTGAGACAGTCACAGCAGCCAATCCCCCCTGAAGCCACAAGCAGCAGGCCACACCTGCTCCAGCCCTTAAAAGCCAAGCCTAGACCACAGCGTCCTTGTGTAGGTGAAGGTGAAAGTTTTAGCTCCTGACCTTCTGTATGTTTCCTTGCCAGCTTTTTGGTTTTGATTCCAGCTTTTGACTTAGGAAAGACACTTTGAACTGAATTCCAGTTCTTTGCTCATAATTCTGGTGTGACCTTTGGCCCTGGCTTTTGGTTTTTGATTCTGGTTAACACTCAGTTTAACTTGTCTCCCTTCTGACCCTGGTTTATCTTGACTTTGGCTACAGCTTCAGAATGCAGTTCGGACATCCGACCACTCTGGATCCCAGTTCCCTAAGGAGCCCACTTAGACTATACCTGCAGTTTGGATAACTAACCTAGGCTAGACCAACCATGCCCTGGCACATAACAGACATCAGCTTTGGTCCAAAGAGAAAAGTGTCTGGGAACTTCAGTCTGTGCCAGAACCCAAGACAGTCCACATCTTTGGCATTACTGCAGCTTTTGCAGAAATACCACAGCTTTTGAGCAAGGTGAAGAGGCAAAGTGTGTGGGGAAAGTATATGGAAGTGAAGCTAAAGTCACTTACTTATGTCCAGCTTCCGTGCCTAAATGGGCAATTTCAGTAAGCAGCTGGCTCTTTCCATAGCCCATAAGGCCCTCAAACATTATAACACGGCCTTCTGTAGAACCCATGAACTTTTTCAATGAAGTCTGAAAGAGATTAATCTCTTTTTCCCGACCTGCAAAAGAAAGTAAGTGAACAGAGCGAGTGGCTTTAAGAAAGTAAGAAATAGTGCAGATCCCTTCCCCTCCCTGCTTAACAGTAGCAGCACATCTTCATGCTAATCTGAAATGCCTACATAAGCCACTGGCTCATTTTCACCTCTGCTGAAATCCTTGTCCATCTGCTTTTCTGCATTCATCTTGACTACAGCAACTTCCCTCTCTATGGTCCCCCCACAAGCCAGCATTTGAGCAGAATGCTGTTCCTCCCTCTCCCCTACACACAAAGAGTGACCCTCCTCCCCTTCTTAGACAACTTATTCAGCCCAGATACCAGTACAAAGTATCCTTCTTTACATTTTTTATCCAGCCTGTTTCACAGATTCTTAGCTACACTCATCAAACTTAGTATAAGAAAATATAATACACATTCCTTCCAGCTTCACCTGAAAGAGAGTGAGTGAGGTGGTAGGAGGGTACTCTACATCTGCATCTCTTTTTCAGGGCAATGAGATTAAAATCTAGAGATGTGACAGGACTTGCCCCTGTGAAGGATCTGGGGCTTTGCAGTAAAGTGAAAAGATGCTAGTACAAAGGGAGCGGATCTGAAAAGTAAAAAGTGCATGTGTTACGTATTCTTCACTATCCTACAGTTTCACTCCAGTTACAGGATTTGTATCTATGGATGTTCTATATACATCTTGGAGGTTCCTTCATTCCTGAATGGCCCCTATCAGGGTCACCTAATTATCAGGGAGCAGTTTTCCTGTATCTGTCTCTTCACTACTTCCTTAAGCCTCTGGTATGCTCTTCTCAGTGCTAGCAAGTACTTTAATGGTTAATGATGATAAAAAAGTGTTTCAGAAAAGTTAGGTGCACCTACCCAACAAGGGATAATACTCAGACCGCTCCGTGGTGAGAAATGCTTTCCCAATTGTCCTGCAACAAGAAAGAGAAAGGAAAGAATCAGTTAAAGAGATAAAATATTCATGGTCAGAATCAACATGACTGAGATGCTGGCAGGTGCCTTCTCCGGGAATCCATGCTCCACACTTCACTTCCATAAAAGTTTTTGTTTTTCTTTCTTTTCTGCAACTGGAACTCAAGCTGAGACAGAGGTGAGAGTGTCATGGAAATTCCCTTCAAAGAAACCTCAAGAAGCCTAATGACCCTGGTGTAATGAGAGGCTCTAAAAACTGTGACAGTAAAAAAGAAAGCAGGGAAACTGGAGGCATGAAAAAGAAATGAGGTACAACAGTATACATATCCCTTTGCTATAAACACCATAGCACCCAGTAGTTCAAAAAGGTGAAAAATAATTCTGAACTGGATATGGGAAAGAGAAAAGAAACATGTAAGGACAGGCAGACTTCCTTAAAGCTTGCAAAGGAAAAGATAAGGAAAACAAAAACTAGAGAATCATTTAATTTTAGCCAGAGGGTATAAGCAGAATAAGAAGTCTTATAAAAACATAAAGGAAAAGAAAGTAAAGACATTATTAAGCAGGAAAATGGAAAAAAAATCAGTGATGATTCTTAACTGCTGAACAACACTTTAAAATAATTATTTGGCAATAAATGCACTAAGCAGCGCCCTATTCCTGCAAACTGGTCCACACACTTTTGAGATAAGTGAGGCTCTGTCCACATGGACAGACTTCCAGTAATGGAGCCTTGGGTATGGACAGTGAGAAGGTTGGAAAGAGGTTGTATAAAAAACCCCCACAAAAAACAGTGATAATTAGGGGCCAGGATATATGGAAATATTGAACTGGAGAAAATTAAAAGGTCAAGATGCCATGGGTAAAGTAGATTACTATTATTAATGGTGTTGTTTTAATTTAAACACAGACAATAGCAGCACTTTAAAAAAGGCTCCATATTAACACTTAAAGTTATCGTAAAAGACTGAAAACACCAACCCAGTAAAATTACTGAAGTTTTCCAGGAACAAGTCAGTAATAGTCCCAAGCTTCCCACACCTTCAGTAGCGACCTGGACCAACAAGGACCAGGAGTAACCTTCACGACCAGGTAATGCATTAGTGCTAAAAACCAAAACCAAATCTTGGACTGGAGTTTTGAGTCACTACTGAAGTTTAAATGTAGATGCTATCCAGCCAGGATTGGACAGAAATGACCATTCAACAGTGTCCTAGCACTTTCTGACCTCAGTTAACAACTGGAATTTGATTTGTGGAAGAGTGGTATACATAGGTATAAGTTTAGGAATTTGGGCCTTTTCACATACTGCTCTAATTTTTAAAACTCTTGCTGGATTCTCATGCACAGTATACATCTTATCTGTAACCTATCATAAACTTCTGGAGACTTTACTTTTGTTCTTTATTTTCTTTTTCTTAATTTCCCCTGAAAATCATTTGGGCCAAGACTAATAGTCTATTCTCTGCCTATGGAGAGACATGCAAAGCTTCACCATGTCTCTTGGTAAGTGGGACACTACATGTACTGTTAGACATTTTAGACACAGAGATATGAAAATCTGTTCAGTGTCTTAACAATTTCCTGTGCTTTGCTGAAGAAGGAGCTGGCTGATTCAATGACTGACAGCTGCCTTGAGCTGATTTTCTATGGGGAATAAAGAATTTTGGAGAGGAAATACCCTGGCTTGGCTGAGTGGTAATATTCTAGATTCAGAGAGAAACAGGGCAGGCTGAGTATTTGATCAGCCCAGACAGCATCTAATATCCCCTTTGTACTGATTGAAAGAATTTGCCCTTTTCATCAGCCCTGCCCCACTTAGGTAAAGGTGACACTTACGTCTTCTCACTGATGCCAAGATAATGGTAGACCACACCAGGATTTGCAACTCCTTTCATCTCGGTCTGAGGGAGCTCCTTGAAGAAGTAATTGGGCAGCCGGGAGCTGGTATAGGTAGTTGCATCACAAGATACTACCCCTGGATAATGCATCATCATCCGGGCAGCAAGATTCACCTTCTGGCCAATGACTATGTTGTGGGAAAAGCAAGAAAAGGTGCACAAAAAAAAGTCAGGTAAAATCAGGAGACCCACCTCACTTCCCTATGGCACAAGCTTCATATACACACGTGCACACACACAGATATCTGTGGTGCCACTGGCAGGCATGCATCCTTACATGCAAACAGGGAGGATGGTGAGCAGATAGAGCACCAGATAAACATATTGTACCTGTGTATTCATGTCTGACACGATGGCCAACCACACCACAGAACACAGGCCCACTGGTAACCCCGATGGAAACTAGCCTGGTATACAATGAGAGCAAGGTGGATTCAACCATTTCTAGTGTCCTATCCCTTCTGCTCCGTCCTCACTCCCACACTGCTAGTGTTAATTGAACAAACTACCCCTTTACCAGGCAGTAGGACCCACTGGGGCCAAGACAGCTCTGTGTGGTGCTTCAAAAGGTATAGGGAGAGAAAGCAAAGAACTTCTTGTACTTTCCCAAACACAGAGATTGCCAAGTGCTGAAAGGAACCAAAGTGAATGGCGCCACAGCCAGGCCCATGCACCTGCCAGCTCATTCCAGCCCAAAGGACACCTTTGTCCATCTTCTACAGGAGTGAGTGCAGGATTTTGGAATTGCCCAAGGCACAGTGTCTCTTTGATGGCTCCTTTTCTTGTAATGCCACTGTTTCAAGGCAGCAGCTGACCTTCATTGCCTTTTATGGAGCAGGGGGTAAAGCTCTGGCTGAAAATTCGGGAAATATTCACTGTGGCTAGACATGCTCATCTGTGCACAGTAAAAATTCTACATATTCACCACCCCTCCTCAGGTGAAGAAGCGGTGAGATGGGCAATGCTCTAGTTTTCTGCCTTGCTTTGTCTATCTATCTGTTTTTATGCTGTGCCCATGACTTTGATAATTAAATGAATGAATGAATCACAAGGCATTTCAAGTATGCACATAACAGCAAGTTGCTTCTCTGAGAGCATAAGCCGCAAGATGCCTATTCCTGGCATTTAATTCCTTTTGCATGACTGGTTGAACTTCCCTAGCTTTTAACGGACTTCTGACCTGCAAAAGGGAGTATTTGGTAACTGGACAGGGCACAGGATGGCCTCTGGCTGTAATGTATGGCCATCTGGAAGTCGATCAGTTCTTTCCCCTGAGTGGTAGGTAAAGCTCACAGGAAGAAAAAACAGTCATCAAGCAGGCTCTGTCTTCTGTGTACATAAAAGCATCACCCTAGACTTACATTGTGCAAAGCAGCATGTAGCTATGGTAGATGGCCAGAATCATGTAGCATGTGAAAGTCCTGGAGTGTGCTGGACTAATCCCAGTGGTCTTGTCACTGCCCCCTTCCCATTGACAACTAACTGTATGGATAAATGAGTTTGGGGGGCAAGGGGTACCCTTCTCCTTATAACCCAATAGCACCCCTCTAAGCCACCTGGATAACTAACTATGCCCCCCTACTTACTTTATTTTCATAAGCATTGCAGAACAGTACTTGTAATTTTTAAATGCGCTGTCCAAGGCATGGGTGGTCTCATCTGGCTGCTTGTCTCCAGGAAGTCCAAACACACACAGGAATGTGCAACCCTATTGGGGAGGGAAAAGGGTGAGAGTATTTTTATTCCAAGTAGCAAATGAGTAATAATATTTGTGACAATTAACTTGCTTCACTGGGATCCAGCTTACACAAAACAGACTCCATTGACCTCTCTTTTTCATCCTAAAACCAACAGGAACATCACACAGGTTCCCTCAAACTACTCCAGGATGGCCCACCATCTCCTAAAGAAGAATGCTTTGTACGGGTGTGCAAAGCAGGCCCTATTAGATTCAGATTTGGCCTGAATCGGGGGCAGTGATTCAATTAGTTGATTCGGATCACTGTCCCCGATTCGATTCGACCGAATCCAAATCTGAAGATTCGATGCTGATTCAGAGAATCAGTGATTCGGACATAGACACAGCTTTAAACTTCTTTTCTACATACCTTGAAGTAGCAAGTGCAGCTTATGAATGCTGGGGCACATGAAACGTCCCACAGGAGCTCGCAGGGGCCCTCTATGTGCTTAGCGGTGAACCTGGAAGTGGACCAGAAGTGCTTCCAGTCCACTTTTGGGTCTACCAGGGAACGCACTGGAGGGCCTCCCCAGACCCAGGAGGCACCAGTCGCTGAGCCGGGGCAGGGAGGGCCCTGCGCACTCCCTGATGGACCTGGAAGTGAACCGGAAGTGATTCTGGTCCACTTCTGGGTCTGCTGCCCAGCGTGCTGGGGAGCCCCCCACGCTCCTGTGGGACACTCCATGCGCCCCAGCACCACAGTATTTACAAGCCCCTGCTACCTAGAGGTATGTAGAAAAAACATTAAAAGCTGTCTCTATGTCTGAATCTTTCCAAATCGATTCAGAGCGTTCTGATTCAATTTGGAGAGATTAAAGGGTCCCCTGATTAGATTCAGATTTGGAGATTCGGCCACTGAATCGGGCAGAATCTCTACCAAATTGAATCAGGGACTGAAGCTTCACACAGCCCTAATGCTTTGCATTTGAAAACTTGTCTAACTTTACACCATCTATGCAGTTGGACCAATAGAAGATAGCACCCAAAAAATCCGTGCTTCTCCCACCATCTCCTCACACTCAGTTTCTCCAGGATTGAGCTGCTTCTTAGTCCTTCTGGTGCCTCCCCTCCACTTCCTTTCTCCAACTGTCTTGACAGTTCCACTCCCTGCCCTGCCTCCATGTCCCAGCTTCATGTTTGCCATTCTGTGCCTGAAAGAGTGGAAAGTCCTGGATGTTCCTACGCACTTTGTCAAACATGAAGACTTTATTGATTTTGCCTCTATGGGAGTGTATGAGCTCTGCAATATGTAAATTGGCATCCTGGATGGCCTTGCTTAGATGCAGTGTGTTGGCACTTTCATCAAATTGAAGGTTTACAAAGACAATCGTGACCGGTCGAAGCTCAGATAAGTATTCCAGTGGCTGATTATCATCAATCTGGAAGACAGAAACAGGAAGTACTCAACAATCTACGCTCCCACTGGGCAGAGAGTGTTCGTTAGTCCATAACCCCTAACCCAGATGGGCTGACTGAACTCAGCTTTGGGTGGTAACCCTGGGGTGGGCACAATACAGCTTGTGGGCCAGATTTGGCCCACAGTGAGTCTTTATCCTTCCTGCGGTGGGTTCCTCAGTCCCCTGGCCCAGGTACAGTCTATCCGTGGCATGTCATGCTGCCTGTGGGCATGCAGCAGAGCTGGGGTGTCTCCCCAGCTGGACTGCCTATCTAAGCAGCCCAGGTGGCAGGCGGCTCCTTTGGCTGCCACCACTGCCAGCCCCAGCCCTGCAGTATTGGTGGGGACCTGTGCTGCACAGCTCAGACCCCATGCACCCCATGCCTGCTCCAGCCTTGCCTGCCCAGGCTCAGCAGCTGCAGTTTGGGACAAAAGCTGTTGTACAGAACAGGGGGAACGTGGCCCCTCCCTGTCCTGCTGCTTGCAATTCCTTGCTGCAGCCACCCAGAGTCTGCATGGGGCTGCCCTCTGTGCTGCCATCACTACCCCCACGGCAGCGGTGGCAGCACAGAGCAGACGCAGGGCAGCCCAGTGCGGGCTCTGTGTGGCTGCAGCAGGGAACTGCTGGCAGTGGAAGGGGGAGGGGGCTGCTTTCCCCCCCGACCCTGAGCAACAGCTTTTATCCCATGCTGCTGCTGCTGCTGCTGAGGCTAGGCAGGCAAGCCTGGAGCAGGCTCAGGGTGCACAGGGTCAGGGCTGTGCAGCACGGGGCCCCACCAATACCGCGGGACTGTGGCCATCAGCTGAAAAGAGCTGCCGCCACCTGGGCTGAGTCTAGAAAGGCAGTCCAGATGTGGAGGCGCCCCAGCCACTCTGTGTGCCCAAGGGATGGCAGGACGCACCACAGCGGGTAGTGCAGAGCAGGTGCAGGGTGGGTCAGGTTGGGGCTGTGCCTGGGTTCCTGCTGATCCACTCCAGCACGTGCGAGTCTGGAGCTGGTGCAGTGTGGGGCAGGGCTGAGGCTGCATACTGCTGGCAGTGGCAGGGAGGCACCGCAGGGTGTGTGGGCTCCAGGCTGTTGGGGGGGGGGGGGGGGCACCCCCGGGGGGCATGTGGAGGGGCCCCGGGCACCCCCCCCCCACCCCCCAA